ATTTTCATCCCAAGTTCCTGTGGAATCACAAAACTACATATGCACAGCACAGAGAAAGGGGAAAGAAAAAAGGGCACATTTAAGAGACACACATCTACCCATTCTGCATCACATCCTCTTTTCCTAGCTTTCCAACCTTGCAACCAAAGCAAACATGTTTCCTCATTAAGGGTAGGAAAGAAAGTAGTTGCGTGAATTGGGATGAGAGAGACAGAGAGAGAGAGAGAGAGAAGAAAAATCTAAGTATATATATAAATAGTAAGTATGGTTTATATCATACAAAGTTTTGGTGGTTAATTCTAATAATAATGTTCTTATAATATATATAATATATATATACATATCAAACTGTACTACCGTACTCTTCCTATATATACACTTGGTCTTCAGCTACCTCTCTCTCTCTCTCTCTCTCTCTCTCTCTCTGCGCTCTGCATTTATACAGAGCCAATTATTACATCTTCACTATACATTTTCCTCATCTTCCCATTCATATTTCATGGCTCTCTTGCTCTTCCTCCTAATTCTTTTGGTCCCTGCAAGCAATGCTGATTGGCCACCATCACCTGGCTACTGGCCAAGTTCTAAATTCAAGTCTATGAGCTTTTACAAAGGGTTTAGAACTCTCTGGGGTCCTCAGCATCAAAGCTTAGACCAACGTGCATTAACAATCTGGCTTGACAGGACCTCAGGTCTCCCTCACCTCACCTCACCCACTTTCTAGTTCACATTTTTATGTTAATGCTTCCTTAATTAATTACCAGTGCACCTGTTAATTAACATTTCTTCATAATTGTCTCCATACAGGAAGTGGGTTCAAGTCAGTTCGTCCATTTAGATCCGGCTACTTTGGTGCCTCCATTAAACTTCAAACTGGTTACACAGCAGGAGTTATAACAGCTTTCTATGTGAGAAATTAATGAACTCCACATTTTTAGCTTAATTATTTTCTCAAATTCTATGTATAATTGTGTCTGCTAAATGCCTTGATCAACTGATCAGTATTATATTTATTCTTCTTGCAGCTTTCAAACAGTGAAGCTCATCCGGGGTACCATGACGAAGTCGACATTGAGTTTCTGGGAACTACATTTGGGAAGCCTTACACTTTACAAACAAATGTTTACATCAGAGGAAGTGGGGATGGAAAAATCATTGGCAGAGAGATGAAGTTCCATTTGTGGTTTGATCCCACTAAGGCGTTTCATCACTATGCTATATTGTGGAGCCCAAAGGAGATCATGTAAGTATTTTGTGATCATAGTTTTGAGCTGTGCTTGAAATCAAAGATTGACTTAGAACTTTTCATGTGAGTAATTATTTCTTACTTGCAAAAACTTTACAGGAAAGAAACCTATCCATCCATTGTCTACTGAGCTTTAATGATTGATTGATATTTTGAAATGCTGGTATTTCTGCCATTTTCTATTTTTCAAAGTTGAGTAATAACCTGATCATGCCAAATAATTCTTTCTCTGAAATTAAGGAAAAGCCAAGCGATATGACACTGGCAATTATAAATTAAGAGAGAGAGAGAAAGAGAGTAAAGGGCTGAGATTTGGAATGGTAAAAAGCCTATATATCCTCATTGAGTTGAGACCCTTTGTCAATGAAGGGATGCCATTTGGGAAAGAAAAAGGTGTCTCCATTATACAAGTCTCTATCTATTGATTGACAGAAAACGCAAAAAAAAAACAGAGGGAAAAAAAAGATAATAAATCCAAATCTAATAGTACAAAGCTATTGGTTCCTCTTGCTGGCCACTAAGTCAATAATATAATGTTTAATCTCTGTTTTGATTATATGCCATGTTTATCTTGTTGTTAGGTTAATTGTCTTATAGTTAAAATTTATGCCACATTCATTATTGTTACAGATTTTTGGTGGATGATGTGCCCATAAGGAGGTACCCTAGGAAAAGTGTAGCAACCTTTCCCTTGAGGCCAATGTGGGTGTATGGCTCAATATGGGATGCCTCATCATGGGCAACTGAAGATGGGAAATACAAAGCAGATTACAGATATCAACCATTTGTTGCAAAGTATACCAATTTCAAAGCCGGGGGCTGCAGCGCCTATTCCCCCGCCTGGTGCCACCCAGTATCTGCCTCCCCGTTCCGGTCGGGCGGGCTGACGCAACAGCAGTACAGGGTCATGAGGTGGGTTCAAACCAACCATTTGGTATATGACTATTGCAAGGACTACAAGAGGGACCATTCCCTAACACCTGAGTGTTGGCGCTAATAAAAGTGAAAGTGTCATGCCATATGTTTCATATTGGAAGTTCCCCTCAATTTTCACTTCATTTAAATGCTTTTTTATGATGGTTTTTTGTTTAAAAAGGAAAAAGCTTCTGTGTGAGATTGCCAAGAGATGGGTCATTACTTTGCCAAAAACAGAATGCAAGGAAATTTGAACATCCAAGGCTCCAAAAGAAGAAAGAAAATTTGTGCACTCCATTTTTGTTATGCAACATTTGGTGTACATTGTATGTTTTCCATATTTGTTTGATGGTGCGTTTGGTGTACATTGGCAATTTACGAAAAAAGAAAAGAAGGAAAAGGCCATGGATTCATGGCCCTGTGTGATGAATCCAAAAAATGGAGGATATGGGTTTTGAGCGAGTGTATGTGTGCAGCCAAGCACTTGTCATTTTTCAATAATGCAAAATAATTTCTTTCTGTTTTTCTATTTTTTTGGTATTGTTCTATGTGTCCCAGTGACTGACTGCCACAGAAACTGGGGCACTTTATGATTGGTCATCTCCTCAACTCTGAAGCTCCAGCAGTGTGATTTAAATTAAATCAAATAGAGAGAATGGCAAGCAGCAATAGTCAGTGAGCACATTTCCCAAGACCAATTTTCCAATTGTGTGGTGGATCAAGTATTCTCATATGAAGGCCAGTATAAATTGTTCTCAGAAAAAAAATGACAGAGAAAAGAAAGAAAGAGGGAAGGCCATTATAAGTCTTGTTGCATGTGAAGGCCACTTGAAATAATGGCAGAGAGTGAACAAGGATAATTGCAAATTAAAAACCAGGGGAATTCAGAGAGAGATGTAAAAAGCAGAAAGAGCATTGCAGCAGCAGCATGCTGCATGTGGAATTGTCTTGCACCAGATGTGTCAGAGATTAGTGGTTTGATTTAATTTCCATGAAATTTGACATGATATGCTAACAGAAAATGACATGACCTCCATCTAAATTCTAAACCAACCAAAAATTGTTTTATCTTCCAAATACTTATAAGCAGATTATTTTTTTCTTGAACATGACCTGCATCAACAGTTGTAAGTAAAACCAAAATGAAAGGAGCTCATAAAATGCTTGGGAAACATGTTTGTTTTTTTAGTTTATTTGGGACAGCCATCTAAATTCTAAACCAACCAAAAATTGTTTTATCTTCCAAATACTTATAAGCAGATTTTTTTTTTCTTGAACATGACCTGCATCACACAGTTGTAAGTAAAACCAAAATGAAAGGAGCTCATAAAATGCTTGGGAAACATGTTTGTTTTTTTAGTTTATTTGGGACAGAAAGAAAACATGTTTCTTTCCTGCAATCAACATGATCTTTGAAAATGATTAAGATGATTTGAGCAGCAATAATGCAGAAGGCATAAGAGGCCCAAAAGATGCCCAAATGAAATAGATTGGGGTGGGGTGGGGTGGTGTTGGTGGGGAGCTTTTGAAGCTTTTAAAATGGTCTGAAGACGATAGAATGTTAGAAACAAAACAAATAGATATGGTTGAAGCAAAGGTCAATATCCTCATCTTCACCTCAAGCCCTTTTCTTCTCTTGGCATCTTATGAACAATCTGATGATGAAAACATGTCTGGTTTGAGAGCAGCTACAAAGATGATGTCCACCCAACACCATAATTCATTGTGATGAGTTTTCTTGATTAAACAATTTATTGCAACTTCAATTAAATTATTTTTTAGAAATATTATTGGGCACAGAAAATGATTAACATTATTATTATTATTAATTATTTATTCTTTTAACTATTATTAAACAAACATTGGAAGACGTTTTGTGGGGTCCATGAGAAAGCATACAATATAAATAGTGAGTTTTGGTTTTGCTATGATATGATTGTGACCCCTAATAATGCTATGATAATTGCCACCTATGGGGTTGTAATTAATCAGCTGATATATTCATGTTGATTGCTAATTTGCTATAGTGGGACAAGAAAAATCACTATTATCCCATCGTTTCTGATTGATATGGCATTTTCCATTCAGAAACTATGGGATTATTATTATTATGTTTTTTTTTGGATATGTCAGCAGTAACTTGAATTTTTGAAACCCTTTTTTTTTTTTTTTTTTTCGGAATCTGAAGGTTAAATTTAATTTGAGTCCTAGAGAAAGGAGTGTACGGCAATTTTCTATAAATAAAAAGCCCAGAAATGTGGGCCTTTTCAAATTTATTTCAGTTTTTCTTCCCCTCTCTATTTCCGGTTGTGAATGCTTATTTTTTATTTTACTTTTTCCCCTGAGGGAAGGAATTATATTTAGATGAAGTTGGATATTGTTTGGACCAAAATTAGCATGGGCCAATTCCTTAGTTATTTTGGCCAGGTCTGTGGTTTAAATGACTAAAGCTCACCAAAAACAAGCCAGTTTAAATGGCTACGTGTTTATTATTTTTTAGGCCCAAAGCTTGTGGGACAAAAACAAATTCAACTGATAAATTTAGTAGTATTTATCTTCTCAATGTTAAAAAGTCATTCTAAAATTCCAAAAGAATATTAATATTAATATTAATAATAATAATGGAAGTGGATAATGAATTGATGATATAGTTGTACTGATATCATCAATACAAAACACTATAGAACCTATCTATAAACCTGGGCACTTCAATTGTCATGACTCATGACTGCTTAGAGCCAGCCCAATATAAAGCACTATGTAGATTATATAAACATTTGCACTTCAATTGTCAATATAAGGGCATAACTGCTTCACAGGATAAATGCACGCAAAGATATGTAAAACTAAATACTATGAAGGCATTAGAATATATTATACAATACAATTACAGCATCGGTACTAAAAAAAACATACATAAATTGAGCAATTACATAACTGAAAATGATCTATTTCATGAAAGCCTGGTACTGAAGAGTTGCAGTATATCACCACTTAAACAACTAAGCAGACCTTTCTTCAAAGCAGGAGTGTACTTGAGATCGCGAACAGGATCTTTATGCAACTTAAGGCTCTGGAAGGTTGTAAAAGATGGCAACTCTTCTAAAACCAATTTGGAACTAAACTTATCCTCTGATGCAAACAATGTGCTATGATTTCCTACGTCGATGATCGCAGATTTTGGCAGTCCGATATCACAGACATTGGTGCATGCAGATCCCAACCTTTTAAAACAGTTGCTGCTGTCTGCTCTCTTTAGTAAAACAAGGGAACCCACTGTTCCTTGTCCAATGCCACCACGGGAAGGAGTAAGCGGCGGCTGAGAGAAGATTGTCTCATTAGACATTTCCACTTTGGGACGATAGGAAGCGACAATGTCGTCACTGCTAGGACAATAAGCAAGAGATATGCAAACTCCTTGATTCTCCGTTTGAGGAACCAATATCGGCCTTCATAAAGTTTAAATTTTGTTAGAACAGAGCCATGCAGTAGTTGACCAACTATTTGGAACATATTTAAAAAGAAAAAGCAAGAGAATTTCAGAGCAAAGAGTATTCTTTTTCTTTCTTGATAAGAGTGCAATAATCAACTTAGATAGGAGAAAATGAACCAGGGACAAAAACATTCTTGTGTATTCTGGCCTTTTAGTTGTAACTTGCTCTAAAAGGTCATTGCAAACATGCAAACAGACCATTGATTTATCAAAAGCAAGCAAACAAACCAGATTAACATGTTAAATGGCATCACTCAAGGTACAAATTGAATTCTTCTTTTTTCTTTCTTTAAAAACAATATCGATAAAATCAGACGGGGTAATCAAGAATATTTTGAGATCCATATGATTTCTTAGCTGAACATGAAAGAACAGGACACACATTTGAACTCACCCTTCTTCAGCATTATCAACGTTCCACAGACATAAGCCAATTGAAGAAGCGGACAGCACTGTTCTAGCACCAGAAGGAAGAGCTGAATTATTTGGAAGGGAATGTACTGTATGAATTGGGTTGTTTGTCAGCCCCTTCATCGTTGCAACAGGCCCTGCAGTTCGGCGCATGTCAAACACCAAAAGAGAGCCATTCTGCAAGATTAAAAAAAATGAAATTAAAGCAGAGGATATACAAGTAACATCTTCCAAAATACTTAAAATGGAAAGTAGGGTCAGACCTGTAATCCAGCATATACATAATTCGAGTCATTGAGATCCCAGGAACATGTCCAAGCAGCTGCCTGCAAGCAAAATTGTCAACATGAAGAACAAACAATAGAAGAGTAAAGCAGACAGATAAACACATATTATGCCAAGCATATAACTTTAACAGTATGTCATGCTGAGTGGCTTTAACCACTCCCATACATAACCTGAACGCGGGTAGATAATCATGTGAAAAAGTTCTTTAATACTGCATAATACAGGAAACACAAGAGTTTTTGAAGTTAGTACAAAACAATATAAACAACAGATCAAGATTTTACCGGTAGATCATAGGCAAGGATGACATTGTTGCTTTCCATACTGTAACAAATAAAACAAGTGTCAACCAGGAGAAATATATGAAGAACGTACTAAAATAACAGTTGAGGAAGTTAACCGCAATGCAACCTGAGAACTGACAACTTCTTCCCTAGGCAAGCAAACAGTGCAAGGTCACTGTTCGTAGGGCAAATGCGTAGGTCCCTAATGACTTTTATAGATCTAGGAAGGAAAATATCATCTCTGTCATACGGAGGTATCAAACTCAACTGCAGAACCATATTTAAGAAAGATCAAGAGCAGTTCCTGTGTTATAAATATATACAAATATAATGCAACAGAAGCACAAACTTTATCCAACCCCAGAAACTTTACTTTGGTAAGAGCTTGTGTCCCACCTATCCCAGCAAGCCTTCGTGAAATTAACACAATTTGGTTAGATGCATCAACATCAAATAAACGAGCACCATCTACCTGCAACTCCTTCTGCAAAGTTCACTATCATGAGGTTAACATTATGTGGAACAATAAAATAATATAACTTCTTCCTTTTCACCAATTACTAGAGTGGATTTCCAGCGAATATCACACAAAATCTAGACATAGTGCCCTACGTATCAAGACCACCATATATGTCTTTTTGCTGATATAGAGATGATATCTGTAGGTCCAGTTCACACACAATGATGTGTATGTTTGTGTATTTACCTCCATCTCCATGTAAATGTGAAAGAGAAGAGGAAAGGAATATGATGAAAGAACAAAGCATAAGAGAAAGGAACCATGCCATACCTCTAATATGAAATTGCAAGAATACGCTTGTCCACAGAGCTTTGAGTCAAAGTTCCACCCTAGGAGACAAAGAAAGCATGGTTTCATACCATTATGATAAACTTAACTGCCATTGAAAATGAATATCTTAAGCTTTAAAGATGCTAAAATATGAACATGAATACACTAACCATAAGATTTTTCGTCTAAAATTGTGTTACCAGATGCAAATCTTCCTTCAACGGCCCCATGAGCATTGACTTGTCCAGATGTTCTGCTATGCGCGTCTCCTAATAAACACTCCAAATATGTTGTCCTCTACAACGGCAAAAATTTAAAAACCAGACGTAATAGAGAAAGACACTCCTAAAATAATATATAGAACATTTTATTTTTCTACAGAAAACAATCCAATCATATTTAATGTATAAAGACATTTTTTTTCCTAACAGTCATTCGAAAATGCTGCAGGGCTTTTCTTTGCATACTCTTTACACATTTGGAGATATCTGCACAAGTCATGGATGCTTAGAGATGCTCTAAAGCAGGAACCAGCCCAATATAAAGCACTAGAGAATATATAAACATTTGCACTTCAATTGTCAATATAAGGCATAACTGCTTCACAGGATAAATGCAAACAAAGATATGTAAAACTAAATACTATAAAGGCATTAAAATGTAATGCGAAACCAGTAACAGTTTTGGAGGCTGAGAGAAAGAACTACTGCTGATACAGAGGGCTATATGACCAGAAAATAAAAAAATAAATAAAAAGCCATTAAAAACCATAGATTATGTAGAATCAGAAGATCAAATGCATTGCAAATAAGCATACCTCTGTAAGCTTCTGAACTTTAAGCTGCAGTTCAGCCTCTAACTTTCGCCATTGAGCTTCTTTCTTACACCAACCAGCTCTCTACAAATACAAGGAAAAACCATTGACTTGATAAACAAACTAACAAATGAATAAGGGAAGGTAGCCCCTCACAATATAATATAAGTTGAATAGTCTGAGTGCGTATCCGCATGCCTCTATCTATAATTTACTAAACCAGAAAAATGAAGGCATGTATATGGAAGAAACAAAGAATTTACTATATTATATACTGGACAAAATATGATTGGAACAAAACAAATTATGAGAGATATATATTAATTCAGTCCGAAGATATCCCTACCTTCTTCTCAAGAGAATCACATTTAGCCTCAAGTGACCGAATCATCTACAAACAAGAAGAACCTATCATTCAAAATAAGTTAACTTTGCATAAGTTTTAGCGGAAAGTATCAGCCTTGTGAGATTGGATAGGACCTTTTGCGATTCTTCGTCAAGAGAAACAATTCGTGAAGCAAAAAGTTTCCTAACATCCTTCAACGCGCATTTCTTGTTGCATTGAGGGCACTAAAAAAAAGGAGAATGCACAGCCAGGAATGTCAACAACAAAAAAGAAAAACCAAACTAACTTCAAATTTCAAAGAAATTGAAAACCAGGGGATTGTTAGACAAATCATTACCTTCCCTGAATTTTTACGCTGCTGTAGCCATTTTCTTATGCAGGACATACCATATATGTGTCCACAAGAAAGGCAACTGCAATCCGAAAACCAAAATTACAGAAATAAATCATCTGCAACACTTTAGACTGAAGAAAAAGTTACATAAAATCACAAAGAATTGAGGTTTGAATTCGAACCAGATGTGATGATCACCGTCGTTGGTCCAAGCCTCCAAGCAAATAGGGCAAAATAGCCCATCGATTTCATTCCGAGTCCAGTGGCTGCCTTGGGAACTCTCTGCACTGCCAATTCCATCGCTTTTGCCTTCTCCAGCTCTTCTCCGCTTACGCCCCCATTCCTCAGCCCCATTGCTCGCCACTGTTTCACGAGAATTTCCGGCACCGTTATGAGAAACACCAGAATGCTGTAGTGATGCAATGTACACAGCATAATCCGTGTCAATTAAGTCTTCGTCTTCTTCTTCTTCTTCTTCTTCTTCTTCTTCGTCTTCATCGTCTTCATCTTCTCCATCATCATTGAATCCCGGTGCTGCGATTTGGTCCTCTTGGAGTTCCTCGTCGTCAAGAAGTAAGATGGGGGAAGGGGGGTGAGGGTTTGCCATGAGTGAGTGAGAATTGGGGAACTGTTGCTAGGGCTTTACAGTGAGTGAGGGAGAGAGAACTGTTGAATTGTCGGTTTCTTGAAGATTAATTTTTGGTGGGAAATCAAAACACTTAGGCGGTTGGGTAACTTTCCGTTTTCATTTTCTATAAAAAAAAATTGAATTGGAATTGTTTTTCTGAAAACAAACTCAAACTCATGTAAAAAAACAGAAAACATTAAATTATCGTTTTCATTTTTTACCCAATGTATGTCTGATTTCTTTCGTTTTTTCTTTTTTTTGGATGGTTTGATTTTTTTTTTCCCATTCTTTCTTTAATTTTTTTAATTTTCTCCTTTTTTTGACCTTTTCAATTTTCAGTTTTATCGTTCAATTTCATTATATTATTTTATTATCTAGGTTTTTCTATAATTAGAATTTTATTTATTTATTTTAATTATACATTATTATTTTCAAAGTATATACTTTTCATTGTTTGTAATAATTTTAGCCTTTAAAATATCAGAATTTAAAAAAAATTATTTTTTTGGATAGAGAAACGTGCATACCGTGAAGGTTATAAGCTTAAACGTATTTCAATTAAAATATAAAATAAACTTAAACGTATTTCAATTAGAAATTAATTTACAGATGTATATAATATGTGATATAACAAGAGTCAAAAGTGTAGCTGTAGCAACCCGATAAAGAAACGTGCATACCGTGAAGGTCATAAGCAAATGGCTAAGGATAAACTGAGCCAATAAAAAAGTGACTGGAAACCATCCATAAGCAACAGATTAACAGAACAACGAAGTTGTCATTCAAAACATCCACAAAGATAGACCAACATAAGCATGAACCTAATTCACAAGATCAAGGAGTACCAAATTCATCAGAAGAGTAGCAATATCTCTCAAGCTACAAACCCAAGATCCAAAATGACAAACTACCATAGAGTCTACAGTCACTACAAGCGATAAGAAGCCCTAAGCTAAATATCCAGTGAACGAAATCAACTCAAGTGTGAGGAACTTTGGTGATCCAATCGCTCTAAAGTTGCTTCAATACCATCAATTCTGTGCTCCAAATCGCTCCAAAGTCGCTTCAATACCATCAATTCTCAACCAAAATGATCTGCTTGATGCTCCTCCCCTTGCTGCATCTGGAGCAATTTGCTCATTCCGGAGAGTTAGCATACCAATCCCAAAGTTTGGCCCCCACCATGTCCAGCACTGTGAAAAATTGATTAACAACTAGCTGTAGAACTATGCAAAAGGCATTGGCAACAAAAGTTACCAGTGTGCAAACTACACCTCCAATGAAAGATGACAATACAGTCCTGAATACATGTAAACACAAAATCAGTTAGACTTTATAATCTAAAGAAAAACAAATCAAACTCTAGGTTGACTTTTTTACCTCCATTTCACCAACAATTGGTGCAAGAATCCCACGCTCTTTTCACATATTGGAACACCCAAAAGCAGCCATATAATTGCAAAAATTTTCCCTTTGTTTGAAGAGAAAACTTCATCACCATAACCCACTGTGCTAATGGAGGCCATCGAGTGATATAAACTACTCTTCCAACTCTTACCTTCAAGACTGCTAATGACAAAAGCTCCTCCACCAATAAAAATTAAGAATGACCCAACTGATAAAACAATTCCAATAGTACTCTTGTGTGTTTCTACCCAATTCCAATGACAAGCTAGATCACATACATCATCTACCATTCCTCCCAAAGTTGTATGAAAAACCAAATACCTAAGAGCAATTAGAAAGCACGTTTGAAGCATCTCATCTATCAGTATACCATTTTCTTCAGAACTTGGAGTTTTGTCACCATAACCAACAGTGGTTATGGTGACAATTGCTGCATAAAATGCATCTACCCTATCAAATCCCTTAAATTTTTGAAACATGCATACCATTAAACCCAAAATAATTCCAAGACCCGCAATATGCATTATCAAACTTCCTATAATCTGAGTTACCGATCTATGTTGGTTAACTGCATTTCCATCAACAACTGCATTCTCACCAGCCGCTCCTATAACAGCACCATCCCCACCAACAGCCAGTTGGATTTCAGCATTACGATTACGCTGGTTTTTACGACCCTTTGGCATATCTGTAAAATAAACATAAACAAAAAATTTGATGTATGTATGTATGCAATATTCTATGTTATAGAACCTATATTTGAATTTGAAGCTCCAGCAGTGTGATTTAAATTAAATCAAATAGAGAGAATGGCAAGCAACAATAGTCAGTGTAGTGAGCACATTTCCCAAGACCAATTTTCCAATTGTGTGGTGGATCATGTATTCTCATATGAAGGCCAGTATAAATTGTTCTCAGAAAAAAACAGAAAGAAAGAGGAAGGCCATTATAAGTCTTGTTGCATGTGAAGGTGATGCGGGAGCATCTATTAGACTTTCCTAATCTAAGCGGGCATCAGCCAATAAGGCTAAGTTTTAGTTATATTAAATTAATAGGTTATTTTATTACTTGTTTTCCTATTCTTACTAGGATTTGGTTTAATTTCCTGTTTAGGTTTTTAATTCCTATTTCAATTAGGTTTTCTATATTCTAGTATAAATAGGCTATTAAGAGACTCTTGTATTTAGTTTTTGTTGATGAATATAATTTCAGACTTTAGTCTATAGAGTTTCTATTGGGATTTTGCCCTAGAACTCAATTATCTGCGTTCCAACTTCGATTCTATTGCTTTATCCTTCTATTCTCTATATTTTGGGTATGTTTGCGTCGCTGGACAGCAGCTTATAGCCGCTGCCCTGCATCAAATTGGTATTAGAGCCTAGGTTAATCCTTGTTCCACAGCATGGTTGGACGTGCTAGAGGTCGTGGACGAGGGAACCAAGCCCAAAACACAGAGATGGCTGAGATGCGGCGTATGATGGAAGACTTGTCGAGAGCGGTGCAAGCCCTCCAACGACAGGAACGAGCGGATGCCTATATGGAGATTCCGGAACGCAACCGCGGACCCTTACACATACCGGAAGGTGGTGGTGAGGATGAATATGAAGACGAGACGGATGTCGACAACCCTTTTCATGAAGCTAGAAACCATGCTGATGGTCATCGAGGTGGATTGGAAGAACGGTTAGTTCGTGCGTTGGATTTGAATGGTGGAGGAATTAAAATTGAAGTTGTTGATTTCTATGGAAAGATGCATGTCGAAGATTATTTGGATTGGGAGGCAAGTCTAGAGAATTATTTTGAATGGAAGCCTATGGCAGAAGATCGCAAGGTGTTGTTTGTAAAGCTTAAATTGAAGAGTACCGCGCTTCAATGGTGGAAGAGAGTTGAAGAGCAGCGTGCTCGGCAAGGGAAGCAGAAGATCAACACATGGGATCGTATGAAATCCAAGTTACGAAAGCAGTTTTTACCAGCTGATTATACCATGGAGTTATATGAGCGGTTTCATAACTTAAAGCAACAAGACATGTCTGTTGAAGAATATACGTCAGAGTTTAATAATCTCTCAATTCGAGTTGGTTTGAATGAGACTAATGAACAGATGACATCTCGTTATCTTTCTGGTTTGAATCAGACAATTCGAGATGAGATGGGGGTGGTCCGTTTGTTCAACCTTGAAGATGCTCGACAATATGCTTTAATGGCAGAGCGAAGACTATCGCGTCGTGGTGGAAAGAGAGCAGTTTCTAGCTGCCCAGACACGGGTTGGCAAAGAGATACTGTTGCTGTTCACGGCATCCAAAGTGATGAAGAAGCCAATCCAAGTACCCAAATAGGTGGTAGGAACTTGGGGGTTGATAAGAGTGAAAATAGGGAGGAAATAAAACAATTTCATCCTCCAAACAGGGGTAATGTCAGGAATTCCACGGCTGGAAGTCCTTCACAAGCTCGATGTTTCAATTGCGGAGAGGCGGGGCATAAATCTTACGCTTGTCCACAAAGAAGAATAAATTTGGTAGGTACTAAGATCAACTTTCCAGAACCAGCGTATGATGTTTATGGCAACGAAGAGGAAGTTATTGATCTCTTACCAGTTGAAGGAGAATGTTTGTTGGTAAGGCGAGTGATGACAACTCCCAAAATTGAGGAAGAAGATTGGCGCCGACATAATATATTCCGAACACGAGTCCTTTGTGGGGGAAGGGTGTGCAACGTGATTCTTGATGGAGGAAGTAGTGAAAACATTATCTCAAAGGAGGCGGTAGAAAAATTGAAGTTACCAATTGAGAAGCATCCTAATCCCTACAAGGTGTTTGGTTAAATTTACTATTGGTAATACCATTGAGGATGAAGCTTGGTGTGATGTTGTTCCCAATGACGCATGTCATATCTTATTGGGAAGACCATGGTTGTTTGACAAAGACATGATGCATTCCACTAAAGCCAACACCTATTCATTCTATAAGGATGGGAGAAAGTGGACTTTGCAACCGCTTGAAGAAGGATTCTGCCATGAGTTTGACATTGAGAGCAAGGAGGTGGCGTCTGTGTATCCACTTGTTACTAAGAAGGATGTTGAGGGAGCTTCGAATAAATTAGAAGATGACAATATCCTAAATTTAGAAAACCCTCCCGTGTTTGACTGTTGTTTGGAAGAAGACTGTGAAGTTTGTTTGGGAATTGAGCAAGCTTTTGACAAGGTATTTGGTGATAGTAAACAAGCTAAATCTAGGGTAAACTTGAAGGCAGTGAATCACGAAGAAGTTGGGTTTGAACTTTTGAAGCAACACAATCAACCCACGTTTGAAGGAAAGGTGATTGAAGAAATTCTTGAGGGAATTGTTGGAGAAGAGATGAATTCCTTCAAAGGTGATACTTATGTATACACTTAACAGAATTTCTGACGGCAGGGACCATTTGTGATAAAAAGTCCAAACGTGAAGCACTATTAGTGTCACAAAAAAACCTCAAGGACCATTCGTGATAATTTCGTAAACGTGAAGGACCATTTGTGATAAAAAGCCT